GCGGAGTGCAGTTGGACAGCTAGTAGGTTCTGCATTCCGGAGTTTGGCCGGAGTTCTAAGTTAATTCAGACTTTTAGTAGTTTAAGCCCTCCAGATTTTGGTCAACGTTCTGGTAGTTTAATTTCAGAGTTTGGTTGGTCTTCTAGTACTTTAAGCCCTCCACAGTTTGGTGTGAGTTCTAGTAGTTTAAGCGTTCCGGAGTCAGGTCGGAGCTCTAACAGTTTTATCCCTCCGGAAAATGATATCATATATATACCAGCAGAAGAACCTGCACACTCGGTTGAAGAGCTTTTGAAAGATTCTTACAATAACCTTATCAATGGAGTTCTTAATCCCAACTCGGATTCCGACGCTACCCTCGATGGTCATGAAGAAGATCAAGAACAACCTGATCCGTTATCAAGTGTGGAACAGTTTCTTGTTGATTCCCTCTGTAACCTCCACAAAGCTAGTACTACTACTCCCAAGCCAAAGGAATCAAAAGGTACGAGCTCTATATTTAATTTGTTCAAGTTAATCAAAAGAAGTTTCTTTTATCTTTTGTCTTTCTTCTTTCTTTAATGAATGTAGAAAAAAAAAAAAGAAAAAAAAAAGATAGAAAGAATATCCCCGTTAGGTTGGCACCGAATTTTTACTTCCATGCCAAATTCCCCACATGATATTATTAAAACTAAGAAAGAAGATCAAGAATTATAAAGAGAAAAAAAAAAAAAAAAAAAAAAGAAGAAGAAGAAGGAAAACCACTACTTTCCTAGTATTTTATTAGAGTTTGAATTTTTTTCTCTTTTCTCTTTTCCATGACGACCTTTCTTATTAAGAATCACTACTTTCATGTGTGTGAAGGAGGTAAAAAAAGATCGACCGAGGAAATTTCAGCAGAAAGAGAAGGGAAGAAACTTATCAGCCAAAGCCGAGGATGCTACTGAGCTTTTCGATGTTCCAGTTCATTTTGAGTTTGAACCTAAGAATGAGAACTAACTACAGTTCTAGCTTGTTTTTGTTTTGTTTTGTTTTTTTTTGTTTTTTTTAAACTATATTTGCTAGCGAAGGTGACATGATAAAGTCAAGTACCTCCTTAAGGCTATTAATGATTTGGAGCCGGATAATCTGTTGTCCCTATTGCATTTGGGAACTTTCTGGTGACTATATAGAAAACCATGATTTTTAAGATTTTTAATCCTTTTGGAATTTGTTCTTTGTATTAGGGAAAGCAATATTAGGGAAAGTATTTATATTTATAGCTTTAACTTTAAGATGTTTCTTTATTTAGTTTTGAATAACTTACGATTATGTGTCTTGTAATGTTTATTTATATGGAACCCCTTTTATAGTACTCCTTATTAGCAAATTTTCTCTCTAAACCTAATTCGTAGTTGTAGACACTCTACCACACATAAAAAATTGAGTAAAATAAGAAATTGAAGTGTTCTTCTATCATATGTATTATGTAACGAGACATCTAAAAGAGATACGTTCATAGCATTATGTTATTTTATTTTATTTTAAAAAAAAGAATAATAATGGTCATGGGGAATAAATAATAAAGAAAATGATAGTATTCACGAATTCCCGGAGAGATAAAAAATAGAGAGAAACTTGTTAAAAGTCACCAAATCTTTTTAATGGCGTACAATAATTTAATTTGTTTGACATGGTATAAGGTTGAGGTTTCTAGTCCGTCTAAGTCTCGTTCAGTTCGTAGATTTGAGTTTCTAAAATGTGACGTTATGTGAGAATTTTTAACTATAGTAAAAAAAAAGTTAGATGTGAACTTTTGTAAGAGTTTTTAACCGTAACAAAATTAGAATTAAAAACTCGAATTGATGAAATAACAACTTTGTTCAGTTTTACTATCAATGATTTAATTACAAAATGAAATTGACAAAATAATCTTTTTCACTTTTATACTAAACGACCTAACTCGATCATGCAGCGTAGAAAATGACAGCGTTGTGTTTCGAAGTAATTTTGTACAGCTGAAATTTTGACAAGTTATTTTAAAGCTTTCTATCAAATAACTTTCGAAAAGAGCTTGTAGAGTAGAATTTACTTTCGAAAAGAGCTCGTAGAGTAGAATTTATAGCACTTGACAAGAAGCATACAAAGATCACGAAATCAGAAATCTTAGTAATAGATTAATGAATATCAAAGTAATAAGGAGAGTGTCTGCCAGGATCTTGGATCATGTCACTCACGGTCATCCGTTATAAACCCCCTATGTTAGAAATGACTATAAGCTTGTAGATAGCCTGAAAAGGACTATTCCAGACAGATAAATAGCTCGTTCAAGAAGTGTATTTGAACCCTGATTTGTATTTTAATTCAAATTCTTTGTGAAAGAACTATTAACGGAAATTTTTTTAATTCAAATCCAAAAACACTGATAGAATTATGATTTGAGTTTTGATTATATGTACTAAACATACCTAACGTCGAACTATGAATCAGTGAAAATATATATACACACAGATGTAGTACAGTTGCCACTACTATTATACAAGCACGACTGGTTCCAAATATTCTAAAAACCGACCGACAGCTATGAATCAAAAAATGTAGAAACAACGGAAAGGTAATAAAACAGTGTACACATTAAAAAAAAAAACAAAACAAAAACAAAAAGCCGATGCTTCTGTTTTAGCCTCTTTGCAGATTCCCTTCCTCAATGATCCACCTCGTCAGCCAACTTGGATCTCCAGAAAAGGATTTACACGACAAGGGGCTGATCCCGAGATCAGCATCGATCGAGTCATACTCCTTGAGGGCCGCTTCCATCTCTTCTTCGGCAGTCGTAACGTCTATAATGTCAATTGTGTCCATTCGAAGAGCATCAGCATAATGCTTCTCTAGTTCAGTATCGTTTTGGAAAGGCTCCATGGCAGGTCCCTGTACATTCCAACAGTCATCACACATAACACACCAAATCTGATTAAAACACTAAAACAGAATGCACAACAACGTTAAAACAAGTAATATAAGTGAGCAACCATTGATTGCTTTCCTGTAAGAGTAGCTTACCAGTAGCGACAAACAGGCCCAGTACATAGACTAAATGCGTGTGCGCACACAATGAATAACTTGGGTATATGTTAAAAATATGCACCAAAAGCATTGTTATGTGTTTCTACTAAAAATCCTCTGACCTCTATTCCCATTATAACACTGCTTTTTATATGAACAAAAAAAGTACTTTCCAACTTTTGGTTTATTGTTACTGTTAACAAGTGATTCAAATTACCTTGCATAATTCAGCATAGTGCTTATATATCTCACTACTTTCCTCTTGATCACCGCGCAGGCTTCCACCATACCAACCGTTGGCCTCATCTACAATAGTCATTGCCAGATACCTTCAAGCACAAAACAAATATTTAGTGAGCCACTTTCAAATATAGGCAGTTAGCATTTTGGTAGCATGTGAGTGCTTCTTTTTTTTTTTTTTTTTTTTTTTTTTTTTTAACACCTCTGGAAGATATCTTCTTCATTGGCATCGTCACCAGAAGAAGTCCAATACATGTTACGAAAAGAATCAACTCCTCTATCATCCCTGGATTCTCCATTTGTAGCTTCTCCTGAAGTGACTTTTGGGGAAGAAACATTTTCTTCATACTTTCTCTGACCAAATAGCCAATTTGGGCTTTTGAGCTGTATTTCACTGCAAAATGTTGCTTTAGTCAATAATTTGTCATCCACTTCCGCGAGGTAGAAAACAATAAGAAACAAGTAGCATCTGACCAGCCAAGCACGTTAACTCCCTATCTGATTTAAAAATTGTAAATTAACCAAACAAAAGAGTTGAAGCTAAAAGATATGTGGGTGAAAAGGAAGATTGTTTGGTAGTTCTGGTCAGACTAAATTAGTAAGTTTATCACAAATATAGTATCTACCAGAGAGGCACATCTAGGAGGAAGGAAGACATTAGGGAACTGCCTGATAACATTTCTTGAAAGAGCAAACGCGTTATAGACATATATTTTGCACAGCTTCACGACGAAACTCTACCCTGCAAATCTCTAGTTGAAACAGCTAAAAGTTACAAGTTTCCTTGATGTACCAAGAAACTCTCAGGCTTGACTATATATATATATATATTATCAGAAAGCAAAACCAGAGGCAGTTACGTACGCATGTTTACATGGTATGCAGCATGGTGGTAGCAGGAGAATGAAAGTGGGCGCATATGTGTATTTATGTACAGGTTATCAAGCATGCAAACAAGGGATACAGGAAAAAAGCACGTTGAATATTCCAAATAACAAAAAACAAAAGCACAATCATTATAATATATATATCCGCTTGTGGGAGTGAGTAATTACATAGCGTCAGGTGCCACACCAGAACTTCCTGCACCACCACCTGGTCTTCGATTTGGTTCACTGCAGAGCCTTACATCCTTTATTGAAGTGCAAGTCTTTTCAATCAATTTATCAAATGACGTAAACTTCTTCCTCATGAAATCGTCTCTGCAAGCTGGAATAGGGGAAAGAATACCGACACCTCTCGCACGTTTACTGTCTAGCTCTAAACTGCAAAGACAAAAGTAGCTATTTTTTAATATAACGATAAAGAGTTTTCCCCCCTTTTTTTTAAATATTTTTCTTTTCCTGATCTTATCATTTCTGGATATTCTATTTATAAATTCAGCTATGTAGTATATTATGTCATCATAATATAAATGCAGTCATTGATAAAGGCTTTTCAATGTAGGTCTTATAATGGAAAACAGAGTTTAGTACCACTTATCAGGGAAAAGATCATCTCCAATCCCAGAGACGTGAAGATAATAATCAGAATCAAGCTCCCAAAGAGCAGGTTTCCCATCCTGTGGTTTGAAGTAACCCAAAAACCTGGTAACATAGTGGAAACCTTACTTTAAAAGGTATTGTACAAAAGAGAAAAATTAAAAAAATAAAAATAAAAATAAAAAATAAAGACACAAAACACATGTTTTATAGATTTTTTAGATCCTAATACACGTGGTAGCATCAGAAAAATGAAAGCAAGACATCAAAGCAACAAGATATCAAACAGGGATGTGATAAGTACAAATTCATGGCATCTTGCTTTTCACCATCAGTACAAGTATTACTATAGTATCGCTTGATAGACTTCAGAAATTCTCGTGACTGGGTTGTGGCTTTCCATTTTCCCTGCCTCTCATTGAATACCTAAAATTCATGAATCGTGATTAAGCAATGGTTTAGAAATTGAAAACAGACCATAATGTGCAAAATGTAAATTTAAAATAAAAATCATTGAACTGACAGTATAAATATAATGCTTTTGAAAAGATAAAAATAAAGGCATAAGAAGAAACTATATATATGCTCATTTATAGTAGGATAGCACATACAGTATTATGAGCTTCAGAGCCACCATATTGTTGTGCAAGAGCATCACCCATGCTCTGATACATATCCATAAGAGCTGCAGCAGTGCTACTATCAGGATCCACTTTGGGCTTGTCTGTCAAACCCATCGCATGAAGTTGGCGACCTAAAGCAGCAAGACCATAAGCATACTGGGCAACATTTGTACGATCCAAGCAATCAATGCAGTTCGTGCGGAGAACGCCACTTTGAAAACATGGTGCTTCACTATAAGAAATGCTGTCTCTGTTCTGCGGACCGAAATCAGTTTGTTTGTCTCGGTTGGCAGCAGAGTTCAGAGTCTCATTACTGCTTCCAAGCCTTGCAAGATCCCCAGAACTAGCTCTGAGATCTTTAAGAGAAGCATCCCTGCAATAAACGATAAGTAATACCAGAGATGAGTTTAACAATTGATAATATGTTAAGAAATAAAATGCTTACTTCAGAACAAACCTTCTATATGTTGCTCCAACATAACTAGAAGGTGCCTTGTCTATTATGACAATTTCACAGGATTAATTTTTTCTACCAGAAGCACCATTTAATGTCCAAAAACGGAACAGTCAAAAAAAATCTCTCTAAAATACATATATCATTAGTTGATTCAAAGGAAATGCATACCTCCCGGTGCTTGTTCGACTTAATTGATTGGCTCTTCGCTTGACAATGGTAGGTTTACCACTGTAGTAAAAACCTGTCAAATCAAGTGCTTGCCTTGCCACATTACCCAAAACTGCTAATACGTTGGCAGACTTGCTTTGAAAACAACACAGATCAGAACCGTTAGATCAGAGTTGGATATTGTATATGCATGCATAAAATCAATTTCCTATTTATGTTATTGATCAAAAAAATTATTTCCTCAAAAATAATATGCATGGTTACCTCTTTGCGAACTTGTGGAAGTCCCAGTGAATAAATCTAACATGGTTTTCTTCTGGAAGACTTTGGTTCAGATACCCAACAGCATTTGCATACTCACGCCTTAACATCATTTCTCGAGGCCTTTTCTCTACAGTCTACATTTACTAATTGTATTAGGTACAGGACTTGTACAGGAACTGTAGAATCACAAATTACATTTATGATGCGTGGTGTTATTTCAAACAAAAAATTCTATATGTGGAAAAGAATGAGGAAAAATATTTTATTAATTTCAATAATTTACACAAGCCACTAAAGGGTTATATATATACACGAGTTAGATAAATTCATTGGAGAAAAGAACTTATCCCTAATTCTGTTGTTAGCCGATCACCTAGCATTAAGGAAATAGATAATCACATGATCCCTAGCCCTAGCCGGTCATAGGCTTAGTTTGGTAGTGCTGTAGATTTTGAAAAAATTACTTTTAGCTGTGTTGAAGAAAGAAACAGCTGTTATAAAAAGCAACTGAATTTTTGGTAAACTATAATTATAGTAGCTGTGCTGGTTCCAAAATCAATGTAATGACGTTTGGTAAATTATAAAGTTAAATTATTGTGAATAATTAAAAATTACGACTATATTATATTATATTATAATATAATATATATAATTACAATATAATATATATTTATTATTATATTTAATATAATACAAAAAAACTATTATTATATAATATATTATATAATTATGATATAGAATATAATAATATTATTAAAATAATAACTGAAATAATTAAAATAACAATTATATTATATTATACAATAATATAATATATATAATTACAATATAATGTATATTTATTATTATATTTAATATAATACAATAAACTATTATTAAATAATATATTATATAACTATGATATAGAATATAATAATATTATTCAAATGGTTAATATAATTACAATATTATAAAA